ATAATTCATGTACATTTTGACAAAGTTTTAAAATAAACCCGTTTTTTAAACAATTTTACATAAAAATTATAGTTTTGAGTATTAGCTACATGTACCTACATAGTCTAGTTAGTCCTATTATTTTATGTACACTTTAAGGAATAGCTATGAGCGGTTGTTGTTTAACTTATTGCGCGTCTTCACATRTTGATAATTTAAAGTGGCGTTTGTGCAATTTCGAAATTCGTTGTGTAATAAAAACCTAACCTTAACAAGTGTGATTTGTATAAATATATGTATATTGCAAATAATATAAAAATATATTTGCAAAATGTCATCCGCTTCCATAAGTAATCGACAGCTTACTGAAGAATTTATTCGGTGCGGCCGAAAAAGTGATAATATATGTTGACGCAGTTTTTGAGGGATAAATTCACTTCTTTTAGTGAAGATAAGGTGAAGTTAATTTAAGAACAAAGCATTAGTATGAAGTTGTTCGAAATGTGCTTAAAGACTTCGGATGTGATGTGTGCCACCGTATTATAGAGTTCGGGAGGAAAAAAGGTATTGTTACCCTGAAAATATTACTGTTACACCAATATCTGCACAAGTTGATTTGCAAGTTTTTTAGTCGAACTTCAACCATCGATGATATTTTAAAGAGTCTCTTAGTTACTTCTGATCCACTTTTATCAAGTGTAAGAGTTACAACTGTAATAAAACACATAGATCTATGAGAAGATGCAAAAGGACTACTTTTAMATTATAACTCAAACTTAGTAAATGAGAACGTATTATTTTGATAATCTTAATTTTCTTGATTACATGTTATCATTTTGTTCAACTATGCCTTTAAYTTTTTATTAGATTCAAGAACTCATTACTATTCATTATAATCAACATAAAATAAGAGCGATTAGATAGTGTTAAGTAAATATTTAATATATCGWAAATTTTCTCTGATACTACTACTTCTGACTACTACAACAGGCTATAGGCTCGCTATATCTTTTCACCAACTTCTTAAATSTAAGAAGTCACACTTATCAATAAAATTTAAATAAWCAAGCAGTTTTAAAATACGAACAACATTTTTGCCGAAAAATTCCGTTTCTAACATATTGTGCGACGTTGCCATTATACAAAGGGGATCTATCTATCAAGCAGTCAATAAGATTTGTCATTTCTTTGGTTTTTAAAGAACATAATTTTCTGGAAGCAATAAACTCAGTTGAAATTCATCCAATACTTCTCTAGAAAAGCGCGTCYTCAAATCTTCGTCAATTGTAGGAATGTACATTGAGACAATATAGTATTCATCGCAAGGACTCACGCAGATATTTTAGTGTTCTGTTCGGCGGCCGCAGATTATTGGTTTTTCATCGACAACTTTCAGTTTTGTCGTCATTTTTTTCGTGTCCAAATAAATGGATCGAAAACTGTTCCTCAGCTTTTGTCTTCGATTTCGGAACGTTACAAGCGGCGTATCTATCATATGTGATGCCTTTGACAGATCGATCGATTCTTTCTGAAGAATCACGATGAGTGAATGAGTTAGAGATAGAATATCACTTAGACAAAAATCCCCCATCCCCAACCCCAAGCATCGTTCCTTTTCCAGCWGTTTTCTTATTTTTCCAGTTCCGAACTTTTCTATGTTGAATAACTTAAAGGATAAACCGCGGAAAATGTATCAATCGAACTTATCCCAGATGGAGCTGAATGCCGCAATTTTCATAAATAGGCACACACTAAAGATATTATTCGTGCAAAGTTTTATCTCGCTAAATTAATTTCTTCTTTATTTGTGTACTGGAAACTGAATGAATTAAGTGGAATTTGAAATTGTGCAACATGGGAAGTAGGCGTGGTTGTTGTCCGATTTCGTCCATTTTCCCAACGTTAATAGACACCATGGAGCAGCGATTAGATGCCAAGAGTATACTGAAAAAGGTGTAGGTATATGAAACAATATATACGATTTTGGTTCCGGGATTACGATATTGTGCTACAACGAAGCCAGCTAGAGGATTACTCTTAAAATAGTGTACTTAAAACTGTGGAATAGGCGTACCGTGTTTTTCTGTTAAGTGTTTCCCACAAAAAACGAAATACKGAAAGCCTCAAAACTCTCGTTCTTCTAAATTTTAATGATCTACATTTCATATTTGATGCACGTACTTATGTATGTAATATATGTATATCTGCGACAGTTTCTCATTTCAGTAAATTACTTACCAAGCGGTCGGTGCTCAATAGAGAAGTGATGTATGGGACAGCCACCATTGTTCCACGTTGATAAYTTCAAATTCACACAAGAGGCATTAGTGGCAATCAGTTCATTCCCGTTCGGCGCCTGTGAGGCTGTATTCAATAAAGTATTTAACAAATGTTGTGTTAATGTTGAAATGTAGCTAAAATATATCGACTAATATACATAAAGTATAGTTATAAAATCAACTTTTGCTCTATAGAAATTTTYTTGTAACAGAATTTTTGGCAGGATTAACTATATAACTTTACGTATGCTTTCGCACTGTTTCTTTCTACCTTCTCGTTGACTTATGAGCATAAACACAATCTTTTTGAATTTGCTTACCTTTGCCCTTGGTCCAGACGTTAATTTCCTCGCTGGACATGCCGTCGCCAACAATATTATGCGCCGACATCTTGATGATATACTGATTGCCACATTTCAAGCCCGTAATCGTATAAGCGTTATTCTCTGGCATCAACTCGGTCTGTGCCCATGTCTCTCCTGTGATGCGGTACGAAATGGTATAGCCTTGCAAAGGGGCACCACCGTCGTCCGGCGGATCCCAGCTGACACGTATGCTATCAGCTGACGCATATTGCACAATGATTTGGGGGGCGACGGGTGGTTTCATGGCAATCACTTGATACTGAATCTCATCGCTTCCGAACAGATTATTCGCCGTACAAGTGTAATTTCCGGACAAATTGCTCTCTACGCCTGTTCACCAGGCGATTGCCRTTGGCCATTCAATTCATACATCCAACGTGTGGGTGTGTGCGATTGTCAAAATTTTCAATATGTAACGTCATTTGTTTGAATATTTTTGTTGGTGTATTTTCGAAAGCCGTTGTGTTGTGGTTGTAACATGCAACGAAAAATAAATTAAAATAGAAAAGGTTGCAAATATGTGCAGTTACATGGAAAATWGCATTTTTATTTCACAGATAATTGCAATTCAACCCGGCATTTCTCAGCTGAGTGGCCGTGTCTGCTTGACTAAAATTAGTAAAAGAGTGTCGTATGGCCGCCGAAGTGTCCAGGCGGCGTAAACAAGCGGAAGTAATCGCATTGTGCGAATAATATATTAATTTGAGGACCGTTGATGGAAATTGGATTTTAATTTCTATCAGATTTGAATATTACAGAAAACCATTTACTTAGACCAAAACCAAATAGCGAACGTTTTCATAAAAGAAACGGAARCACGCTGCGGTTGTAATTTGCTAGAACCACCAATGAAAAAATAACCAAGCAATTATCGATGAGATATAAGTAACCATGGCGAAAGTTTGGGCAAATAATTTTACTAACTTTCATTTATTACTATCACACTTACGGTGTATTTTTAAATTTCCTTCGTTAGTCACCTCATAGAAGGGGCTGAATGTGACAGGCCGGTCTCTGGTCAACCATCTAGCTCGTGGCGTCGGATTTCCCACAGCCAAACATTCCAAAATCAAGGCAGTGCCGACAGCTTTCCGAACTAGTTGTCCAAAAGAAGCGATCCGAGCAGGGGCTGTAAGAGTACTTATTGTTTTCAACTTTTCTTACAAATAATTTTGAAGCGCAGAGTTCAACGTTTCCGGTTTCTTAAAAATTTAGTGAGAGTTTATATAAAAGCGGGTTGATTCAAAAATCATAAAATATTAAAGTAAGTTCCCACTGCTATATAAAGTACACAATTTATGATAAAATATCCCAATAAAGGTTCATACATTCATTTCTTAATATGTTTAAATGGTTTTGTGGGAATCTTTGTCAATAATAATTTGGCTAAAGAAATCAGAACAAATCCCATACATTTTATTTACATATGCCATATTAGGTTCCTTTAAGTATTTTAATTTTTAATTCAGCAAAAACCCTTCTACAAATATAAATTATATAAAATAATTATTTAAATTATTTTCGAACATAGATAACTTATTATTGAGGTGATGTGAAACCATTCTATTCCATTTAGATTAAATTGGAAAATAGTTAGTTTGTTTCTGAGTCTTCATTTTAAGGTAGATTTTCTGTACCAAGTTGCAACACATTATGAAGACAGTGGGGAGCTCCGAAACTATGTACAGATTTTTAAGGCGAAATTGCTCAGTTTAAGCCTAAATAGCTTAATCATAAACTAAGGATGAAATCTAATTACTATTTGAAGTTAGAGCATACATCTTCAAACCGATGACTGCGGTATATCGATGAAGATCTAAAAGCTATGGGCTGCATTAACACACTTAAAATAATCACTTAAATAAATCATCCCTTGGTGCATGAGGAAATTATGTGTTGCTGCTGTTAATTTAATTTTTAATTTTCTATACGATCGAAAATTAATGTTGTTGTTGTTATGTATGCCGTTTTACTGCATTAACGTGCTTACAGAGCCATCAATCAGAGGACTGATGGTCCGCCACACACGYATACACTCTGACAAACTTACCACGCGTATTTGTGGTCTGCGCAACCACAGATGTTGGTTCGCCCTCTCCAACGGATGTTGACGCAGAAACCCAGAATTCGTACATTTGATTTTCTGCCAGCCCGCGTGCTTCATAGGTCACCGGATAACCATTTTCATCGACGCGCACCATATGAGCTGTTTAATGGTGGAGAGACAAGAAGGAGACGAAAGAGTCCAAAGATCCAGTAACAACCGCAACAGAGTAAGGCCACAACAAAAAGCCATATAATGCGTGAAAATTTTCCAATTTTTTAAAGTCAGTAAGAAAAGAAAAGAAAAAAAGTAATCAATGTTGTGATATTATATAACAAAGTCATACAATTAATCACAATAATTTAAAATATGTTTCAATAGAATAATGTAATAAAGTTATTAAAAACTGTTAAGTGCATCATCAAATTATTTTCTCCCAATCGTGACAATATTTTTAACAATAATTTTGCGCATTAATCCTTACTCTTTATACACACATATGAAAATGGGAATGTTATGGCAATATGGCGCACACTTTTTGGTGAGAATTCATAGCCCAAATTTTCTCGCCTGATTCAACCAATCACCAAATGGGCACCTTATTTAAAGATCCATTTATTAATGAARTCAGTTCAGACATTTAACTCTTCTTGATTTTGTTCGATAGCTAATCATCTTGACAGATAGCAGYGTTAATCCGGATTAACTGCACACTTAATCAGATACACATTTGGAGGGGACAGACGGATATTTTCACTGAAAATGGATAGAAGATAAACATTTGTGTTGTTAGCCGCCCCATAGTTACACAGCTGTCAGTGTTGCTTGTTTTTCATTCACAATGGACTAAAATTGGTCATTTTTAACAATGTTGCCAAAGAAAATGCAACCAACTCTCTAACTAACTGGGTCGCCTAGACCCAGCCCATTAATGAAGTCCAGTAGACTACTTGGCGCTAGCGATGCAATGCAATACCTATCCGGAAACAACACTCCAATGGCCATAGGTCTACGTCTACAGACTGCTGTGCAGTCAATCAAYAGATGCTCCGGGGTTTCAGGCTCCCTGTCGCAGAAACGGCAGTTGGCGCAAGCTGATAGGCCCATGCTGAGCAGATGCCTATTTAGCTTACAGTGGCCAGTGTACCATGCGACTAACAGCCTGAGCTCGTWCCTGGGGAGGTTTATTACAATTTTGAACCTTTTCAGTGCTCCTCCCTGCCTGCCCTTTCCTCTTTACSGAGCAGCTCCTTYATGGTATGGGGACCCACACCCGTAAAGGGTTCGGGTCCTATCATCTTGGTGGAGGATGCGGATCGRGCGAGCTCGTCCGCCAGTTCATTGCCGGCTATACCTTTGTCACCAGGCACCCAGATTAGGTGCACCTGGTTTTTTTCCGCAAGGCTATTCAGCCTCTCCCTATACTCCTGCACTAGAAGCGATTTGACCTCGTAAGTGGAGATCGCCTATCGCGCCGCCTGACTATCACTTAGAATGGCTATTCGCTCATTGCGATAGTTGCGATTAAGGTTTATTTCTATACATCGGCTTATGGCATAAACTTCTGCCTAGAAAATGCTCGGGAACTCACCCATGATTCCCTCCGACATTTTCGAGCAATCTGGGTACCATCTCATAGTACTGTTCCTCAACAACAGCTCGAGGTTGGAGTCGTTCCAATCGTCTTTGCTGCCGAGGGTAACCTTAAACTTTTTCCTGAGGTTAACCTTTTTGGTAGTTCTATCCCTCGGTAGGAGGGCCAATGGTAACTTGCCACTTATCATTTCCATCCTCTGGGATGACACTACTTTGCCTTTTCCACACCCATCTGGCGTTATTTGCAGACCGATGACCTAATGAAGCGGAGTAAGTTCAAGAAGAACCTCCAGTGCTGCCGTTGGACAGGTGCGCATTGCGCCCGTCATGCAGACACAGGCCAGCCGCTGTAGCTTCAGTAGCTTAGCCTTAACCGATGTTTGCGACGCTACTGAGGCCCAGGCCTATACCGCCCTATAAGTGATTATCGGTCTAGCTATCATGGTGTACAACCATCTAACTATCCTTGGCTTTAAACCCCAAGACCTTCCTGCCAGCCGATTGCACACCATTAAGGCTTTTGTCACTTTGACCAAGGTCAGGTTTACGTGCTGCTTCCACATGGGAGTTAAAACGAACACTCTGAATAGATACAGAATAAAGCAGTTAATCCGGACTAACGCCGTCTGTTAATGCTATAAGATATATTTAGCGTAGCAAAATCAGATTATTGGCCCATCGGTCCATTTATTGTGCTGTTACCATGCARATTTTTATTAGATCCAAAAAAATATGTTTATTAAAATAAGGGGACGCATGTGCAATCTCGTAGGTTAAATGAGGACAAATCGTACCTAATTTAACCAATAACAGAAAGCTCGTTCAACAAAAATAATTAATCTACACCTTAAGTAATAGCAATTTTTTTCTTGACTAGACTGAAAATTTGGTTTTCAAATTGAAATAAAACGCATATAGCTTATTGTTATGGCCAAGAATTTAGCTTTATTATAAAGATGGTTTGCCATTTACTTTAAAAAATTATTTCGAGCAAATGAGAGCCCTAATTTTTGACCAATATGTCAGCAATAAAGCGTCGAATATTCTCCTTCAAAACGACAATCGTCGTGCGTTTCCATTGACTGTACAATTACAGGAAGCTTCGTGTTTGAAGATACGTATATGGAACAAAGATCCAGACCAACTCCGAAAGAAAGTATTGTCAAATTGAACACCACATGTATAAAAAAAATTCCTGTTATATGTATCATAAAAGGTCCATGCACCTTATAAAAATGACCCAACAACTTAATCCCAATTTCCATTATTGAACTTAACAAATGCGCTGGGCAAGACACAAATTTTCCATCCTCAGGACAGAGAAGAATAAATGCAAAATTTGTGTAAGAAATAAAACGATTTAAAACGATTTAATTGTTCAGAAGAATACTAACMCAGGTATCCATTAACTAATAACATTTATTTTGACTTTGTTTTTGCACTCACATTTCGCTTGTCCTTTACGCCCAGCCTCGCGCGAATAAACTGTATAATGCGAAATTATTCCATTGCGATTTTTTGGCGGCAACCACGAAATCAATATTGAATCGGCCGTTAATGCGGCTGCTTTTATAGACGCTGGAGCGTCCGGCACATCGTCCTCTGTTTGGCAATATAACGGTTGACTGGACAACCCGTCACCAGTCGCTGTATAAGCCAATACACGCAGGGAGTAATTAGTCGCCTTATGGAGAGTGTGCAAGTAGGTCTCAAGATTGGAGGTACGCTTCACCTCTAGTTTTGCCGGGAAGTCAACTGAAAATATAAAACCAACATGTAAGGAAAGCGTTTGCAAAACTTTACGAGTATAAAGAAAATTCCGCGAAGGATTTCAACTGAAAATATTCGAATAAACCGAATTAATTACAATAAAAGTTTTATTTATGTAATATAAACTCAACAAAAGTGGCTAAGCATTAACATATATTCAAGAATTGTAATACACACACCTATATATATGTACTCGATTTCATACAAWTTTTTCATTTGACTATTAACAGAAAAAGATGGTCTCTAAAATAGTTGGAGGCGAGATACGAATTTCTGATACTAAGAAACAAGAGAAACCCGTTTTTTTTATCAGAACCTATTATTTATGATATCTCAGGGCTTCCAAAGTTATAGTTCGACTTTGACAATTTTGAGGTCTCAGATGGTATATCTTTACAATACTATTTGTGCGGAGTTTTCTCCCTTTAAATTCACTGATACTTGATTTGTATATGGTAAAATGAAATAATCAGGATGGCTTTAGATTGGTTGAAACTGAAGGACTAGCTTCTGAGGAATAGAATTTCACTTGAAAAACTGGACACTTCTATGCCAATTCACCGGCGCCTGTGGGCCTCCTTCGTGATAACTTAGCTGTAAAACTTAAATTTGCCTCTGTCGTATTAAGGTAGTCAGTTATCGCACTTTAAGTAGTTTTCAACCTAACCTTCAAATTGAAAGTAGGCGAGGTTATCATCTAATTTATTGCGAGAAAATTGGGAAAATGTATTATTTCAACAGCAAAGTTTTTGTGAAAAAAAAATATTATTTTAAATAGAAATAGTCATGGAAATTTACAGTTAAGTTGTTGTTTTTTTTTTTTTTAGTGTTCATAACAGTATCAAATTAGTTTTAATTGTTTGCATATTTGCAAACTTCAAATGGATTAATTTCAATAAAGGACAATAATTAGCTGTATGGAGAGGTACATTGTAGGTACATTTGTAGCTAATGGCAGATAACAAAGATTTGATATCAACTCTGTGTATCGTACCAAATCATTCGTGCTATTACATAACAATTTCATTCCAAAGATAAACTTGTAGACAAAATAAAACAACACATTGATAGCTGGGTAGAGCATTATCCCGCTTGCACTTTAAAACCACTACTGTCTACCACATATTAACACCATTCATAGGGAAGTTGCAAAAGGGCGATGACGCTACATCGTTTTCCTACTTACAATCCCATTAAAATGGCAGGAGCATACGGCAATGTGTGAGTGTGAAATACATGCTGTTGTTCGAACTTACTTTGATTCACAATGGGCCGATATAAAATTTTATAGCCTTGGATTATTCCACCATGAAATTGCAATGGCGGTTCTAGCCAGGATATCTTCAGACTTTGCGACGACAATGCGGTACAATTGACATGCTGCGGAGGCGCTTCAGGCACTGTAAAGAGAAACCAGACATAACCAAAAACAAAAATTTCCACTGTAATAGTTTAATATACAAACACTTATTCATAGAAACCGGTTATCTGTGCCGCAGTTTGAATTAAAATTGTTTAAATTAGTTGTTTGTTTAGTTGCTTAAAATTTCTAGGTGATCAAAGCAAATGACAATAGAAATGAGCCACTTTAGGTAGGTGTTTCTCCTTTAATGCTGTGTCAGCACATGCGGCAATTACATACTATATATACATACTATATATACTTTTATATGGTAAACATGCAGAATTCCAAGATGGAAAAATCTAAAGATAATGAATGAACCTTAAACGGTTCTCAAGCCTGATATAATATTAAGTACAGACGTATGAATGAAATCTAAAGGATCGGAATCGATAGAAATCAAAAGTTCGATCGAGTTTAGGAAGCACTTCGTTAAAATATATGGTTACAATTTCGAGTAGTTGTAGCTAGTTCCTCTACGCTTGATTTGTCTTACAGGGAATTAGAGAAGCGCACATTGACTAACATTTACTCAYACACTACTACAAACTGCAGGCACAAAATACTTATACCAACAGCACTTTTATGTAAGTTCCACAGGAACAAAATCTCTTAAAAACAGCATTCAACAGCTATAAAATTACTCACCACCCTCGGCTGTCGTTCCGAAAATGGCGGCACTCCAGGGTCCCGAACCAAAACTGTTGAGTGCACGCACAGTCACCGCGTACCTGGTGTATTTGCGCAAGCCGCGAATGGTTGCCTTTGTGGTGGCCCAACCACTTACAATCACCGACTTGAGTGAATTATTGACAACGCTAATGTAGTTGATGTTCTGTTTTTCCTCGCTGCAGTTAACGGTATAGCCGATGAGTTCACCATTCCAAGATTCTCGGGATGGTATCTGCAAAGACGTAAAAAAATATAAATGGAAAGACAAGGCGTTATTTCAAGTAAGTGGAATGAATGAAATGGAAAATTTTTGTTTTTGCGCCCACGAAGACCACACGTTTGCGTATGTGGTGTGGTATGAAGTATTTTCACGAACATGCAATACTTGTATAAACCAGGTACCATTATAATCATTGAATTATTAATTGTGAGGGAAAAGGTGTGAGAAGTAAATAAAGATTTGGACAAGGTTGGTCGCGGGCTCATGAAAATAATTGTATATTGTTTACTACAGCAATTAGTTGAATGTTGGCTATTGGCAAAAACAGATTTTTGAATATGATTTTAAAAGAAATCAAAGAATCTAATATACCCTTCACAAGTGCATTTATTTTAGTGACTATGTGTTCAGTTTGTATGGAAACTATATGCTATAGTAATCCGATCTAAACCATTATTTCGGGGATTATACTATTATCTTATAGTCCTGTCAGACGACATCGCAAATATGCATCAGCGGGCTTAATTTACATTTACTTGCGCATTTGACTCATGTTAATGCAAGTTTGTAATGCACAAGAATTTCGTGCATTTAACTCAATTTACCAAATTTGAGTAGGCAACACTGCTCAAAAATGGCCGATTTTTTCTATTTTTTGACAGATGTCGCTTGAAATCTACCACCTCCTTCCTGCTAATTAATTGCCATACAAGCCCTTGACTCCGATCGTTCGGTTTGTATGACAGCTATATGCTATACTGAGCCGATCTAAACAATTTMTTCTGATATAACATTATTATTGCAATAACTCCTACCAAATTTCGTGAAGATATATCGTCAAATGGGGAACTTTCCCGTGCAAGCATTTGATTCCGATCATTCAGTTTGTATGGCTGCTATATGCTATAGTTAACCGATTTGAGCAATTTCTTCGGATATTACATTATTATCTTTGAACATAACCTGTGCCAATTTTTGTGAAGATATATCGTCAAATGTGAAAGTTTTTCATACAAGAACTTGATTCCGATAGWTCAGTTTGTATGACAGCTATATGTTATAGTAGTCTGATATCGGCAGTTCCGATATGAGCAGCTTCTTGAAGAAAAAATTACGTTCACAAAATTTCAAAACGATATCTTAAAACAGAGGGACATACAAACACTCGGACATGGCTAAATGAACTCAGCTCAATAAACTGATCATTTATATATAAACKTCATAGGCTCTCCGACGCTCYCTTCTGGGTGTTACAAACTTCGTCAAATCAGTCAATCAAAACAAAATTCGTCAGATTTAATGGGATGAAATATAGTGCTCTCAAACTTTTAATTGACAATTCTAAAAGACCGTATCACCTTKATTCATCAAATATTTTAAAGCCTGTCATACTCTTCTTTGGTAATCGTCTACTACAAAGCCTCATTGTTTTAAGTGTACTTTATGSTAGATTGTAGAGCTATTAAAATTTTAGAGATATCATAAACATTTACTAACCTAAATATCTCTTTGGATTTGTGTACATTAAGTCACAAAACGGAAAGTAGGTAATTATTATAACCAAAATCAAACCTATATTTGATCCCAAGTAGAAAAATCTTGGATCTTAATGGAAATGCGATCTGTCATAAAATATGAATTTTTAAATTAGATAGCCACCTGATAGTGCTGGAAGAAATCGTGCAAGAAGTATATTATCACTAACCTGCCATGTCACAATCAATTCACTTTCGCCACCTGTCTGCACCTGCACATTTGARGGTGCTTCGGTTGGAGCCTCTTCCTGCGTTTTCAGCACAATAGGATCGGTGAATGGACTCCGCTCGATTTCGTTGATTGCCTGCATACGAATGAGAAAAGTAGTTGCCGGAGTCAAGCCTGYCACAATGGCACTTTCCCGCAAATCGCTGTCATAGCTGTCAATACAAAGGAACAAAAATAACGATGAAACCCATATCTACCATCAAGAGTGTACTGTGATAAACAAATATAGCATGTAAAAGCGATTGAATGCATATATAGTAAGTGTGGTAAATGCTGCACACATTCATTGACTGAATATGAACGAACCTCCGGCTAATACTTGTCGACGGCAGAGTGACATTGATGATGTTTGGACCACTCCAATCTCCACCCGCCATCCCAAGCGCAGCATGTGATTGCAAATATTTCAACGGCTGATATTGTACGAGATAGCTGAGCACTGGCGAATTACCATCGAATGGGCGCCGCCACGACAGCTTTACGGTACGTGAGCCCACCTCAAAGACTTCCAGCACAGATGGAGTGTCAGGACGTTCTTGAACAGCCAAGAAGATGACGAGCTCAGTGCGTCCATACGGATTTTCGGCAACGCAACGATAAATGCCCGAATCGTGACGATCCGAACGGGCAATGGTCAGCTGTGAGTCGACGCCCTTGTCCGTTTTCATTTCCGCAATGCTAAAACGGAAATTGTTCAGATCAATGCGGCCGTTGTTGTGTGTCCACGAAATTGCGATGGGCTCGTCGCCTTTCGCCTGGCAGTCGAGACTAACGGGGTCATTGCGTCGTGATGATACATTTCGTGCTGCTTGTTCGAAGCGGGCGGGTTCTAAAACAAACACGACCAAAATAAGGCGAATGCTTGGAAAATAATTTGCTTTTAAATCCGCGTGAAAGTTCACTTACCATTCACATTGATGCGTATAATTTTTTTGAGACCGACGCCAATATCGTTTGTTGCGTGACACATGTAGTAGCCCTCATCAATGTCCGTGGCTAGATTAAGCACAAGCGAGTTGTTGCGCATGTTGAGCGGCTTAAAGTCTTGTGACAATTTGCCTGAAAAAAAATTAAATGGACTTTTACTGCCATACTCAATAAATTTGAATGTAACTTTGTAAATTATCTGGTGCTAAATCTTGCTGTCTTGCTCATTTTATGCATTCTAAATTTGAGCAAACAGCACCAGCTGTTCAGCGTATAGATGCCCATCAATGCTMAAATGGCTTAATTAATATTCCAACATTTCTGACATTAATTTATTTGCTTTTATTAACATTTTCTATCGCGAATAGTTTTGTATTTTTTCCTCTAATTTGCGTTGTACCTTTATCCTCTTATGTCCGTTGCGGAATCGGCAACCACGCAAAATTTAGCTCAACCCCAAATTCAGTTGCGAACCCAAAGTCGTCGTCTATAAAACTTTAATGAACTCGCATATCAGGATTAAGTTTACTGCCATCGCGTTCACCCTTTTCACTTGTGCTGAGCCGTTTCATTCGATTTTTTCACCGAACYTGGTAACCGATTTGCAACAGACAGCCATTAGAGACTTGCAACAGTGCGAGCTGTACCCGCATAACGATTGTTACATACAAATATTCTACTACCACTTTTGCAAAACTCTCATGCTGTAGCTTTTCCTCATCCCTTTAATAGAATATAGTATTTACTTCTGTGCACTACTCACCCTGCCCTTTGAACCAGGTAATAGTTGGTATCGGATATCCTTCCGCCTCGCAATTTATCGATATTGTATTGCCAAGCATAATGGCCGTATCCATTGGCTCCAGTGCCCAGCGTGGCGCAACTTAACAAACGCGTTCCCGGACRAACGGACACATTCACGTGTGCACAAGGAGCGGAAATCAGCGTGCGCGTCGGAAATGCGATAACGAACATGGCGAGTTATGTGTTGTTGGATGTGATGAGCAGCATCGTTATTATGAAAGCAGGAAAGTAGCAAATATCCCAAGTAGAAAAACAAATAACAAAATTAACAGCAACATCTATGTGGATAAAAGAGGCAAAAGGTTGCTTGCTCTATGTCGCTTAAGAGTTTTTCTATGGAAGATACGTGGACCAGAAAACTTTTACGACCGGATAGAAGAATTTAAAGTTAAATTAACGAAAAATCGAATGCGATTTATTTCAGTGAAATGGGGTTATGAGGACTTTTACTTACACATACATACATATATAAAYACATCAAAAAGTAAAAATATTCAAAGCCAAAAAAAGGAAACTAAATGGAGGTGTAATTGAAGTAGAGAAGGTAACAGGCTTGGGGAAAAACTTTAAAGAATGCCTTATACTAACAAGTTTTTTCAAAAACCGTATAATAAATTTTAATGTTCTTTGGGTTATAGTGTATACATGAACAAAAAAAAATATATAATGGTTATATATAATTAATTTATTCATTTTAACTTATTACTATATCCAATATTATAAATTTTTTGTAAGATACCTTACATATTGACCGATATATAGAACGTGTAACTTAATGTTTCTGACGTATTTATTTAGTGACCGTTAGGTGAGAAATGGGCGGGGTTATCATCGTATTTTGTCCATTTTYACTTGCTAACGGACTTGTCGTGAGCGAATTTATTTTATAAAGATTAACTTCCTTTTGAGATAAGTAAAACAAAAGCTTCAAATGAGTGGCATATCCAAGAGAAGACGCTCAATTACAGAAGATTTCCAACGCATATYCGGGGTATTGGAATAATTGAATTATAATCAAGATACGCCATCTCTTGGCCATCCGTAAAAATTTTGTCATAGATAAAATAGATAAATTATTTAAAAATCATTATCAGAAAAAGAGTATTTCTAAGTTCTTCATTGAAGAAGCCAAGCTAAAAGCTCTTGAGATGCATCAAGCTGCAGAATAAATCTATACTAGGTATAGATGACTGRCAGTAGAAAAGGAGGAGAAGCTCAATAAAGCGAGTAAGCTCATACAAGTGGTCATATGCGGGGAGTCGATATAGGCTCAAACGACGGCTGATAGTAAAATCAGCTTCGTTAACAGCAAGGCAAGGAAGATCAAGCAAAAGTAATATAAACTAAGGTCATTTATTATCATCRAAAAGTTATAATCGCATTTTATTGTCCTAACTATCAATCACAGCAGATAACATAGTGGTGAGAGTGGAACAGGAAGGAGGTAATTTCTTTCTGGTGTCAACGCACAAGGTTAAGACTGACAGAGAAAAGCAACAGATATCCAATATGGTGCGACGCCAACACGAGACCTACCATATGGCTACACACTTGTGTCTGTGTAGGGGTGATTCGCTATCGCAATATGTATGTACATCTGATATAGTTATCTAAGTATATGTAATGGGGGAAAAATTTTCAAGTGGGGAGGAAGTCTTGCATCCCACGCTATCAATAGAATCAGACGACCAGACTCGTCGATGATTAGAGGATGTCCGAGAAGCAATCTATGTCGCATCACATCTGGATACTTTTTAGAATTCGCGAGAAATTCAATACTCTCCTCCGATATCGAAACTTCATAAAAACAGGATGGGCTAAATTTTTTATGTCAGCAATAAAATGCTTAGAAGCAAGTTGGTTTAAAATAGAATCAGTAATTCTCAAAACCTTAACCAGATCCTAACCTACTTCTTCAATAAATCAAAACCGTTAACCGTGCRTAAAAAAAAGAAGTCCACTCCTTGGTGGAACAGTGACCTTAAAAGCCATTGTTCGCCAACTGAGTAAAGTCTTTGGTGACAGCTATACTATSTTGGAGCTACGAAGGAATTAGGTAATCAGTTGCAGACTCATGGCAGCTTTTCTGCAAATCGATAAAAAGATGCAAAGAATCAACTAGACAGATTCAGATACTAAGTATACGGAACACTTCAATACTTGTATATCTTGCCTAAAGACGATAGTGGCGCATGAACCTCCTCTGCTGGAGAATCTCTGGAGGAACTCCTGAAAACACACTTCTCTGGTAGTCAGCAAACCGCATTGCAAACAAAGAGAAAATTATAAACGCTATAAACAGATTCTTGCCATTTAAAGTAACGGGTTCAGATGGAATATTTCCCATAATGATGCAAAAGCTAAAATAACCAATGTTCTAAAGTTAGAAAATATATCCAAAGAAGATAGCTAGTCAAAGTGGTGTTCTTCCCTAATGCGAATGATTTTAATTTCTATCAGCCTTGCTATATAGGCATAGATGAAAAGGATGCTTACAGCATCAAATGGTTCAGCGGCATGAATAAGCTACGTAAGCAGAGGCACTTCTCAAAAAGATACCCTTTCACAGTTTTTATAGATGGTGGCGCTAAATGGAATACTACTTTAACTCAATAGCGAAGTGAAGTAGTAACATATGCAGATGACATGGTAGTGATGGTATCAGGAAATGTGTCCTTCCACAATCTGTCAGGTGAATAAAACCAAAATGCCTCAATTTAATCTGCCTTTACTCGGCGGTACAACAATTTTTCTGGCCCCAACAGCTAATATATATGGATTTGAATTTCGATACCAAATTGAATTGCAAAATAACACTTAGCATGTACTGGGGCCTTAAACCGAGTATAGGTATGTGAATGTATATGGCCGCCATCAGGTCAATTATAATTTAGTCATGCCCGACTGATGTTTTCAATATAATCCTGCTTCAGCTGCCTATAAACGCCTTCACACGGAAAGTAACAGCAAGCTCTGATATAAGAATGCAGGAATTATGGTGCGTAGTTAACAATTGCAGATAGGCTTTAACCCCACCAACAGGTCAACTCCACTTGCCCTTAATTTGGGTTCCCGGCCACAAGAACATTTTCGATAACAAAAAAGCAGACGAGTTGGCCAACTAGTAGCCACTTTAGATGAATTTGAAGCGGAGTTAATATCATGTCCATTGGAAATGATCAAAAGAGAGCTTTATATTCACTCTGAATAAATAGCTCTGAGCAGATGGAAATCAATGGCCAACTGCCAGATAGGGAAGCAGACATGAAAGGTATGAAAAGACTAGAACCAAGTCCAGGAATAGTATGTTCAGACTTACAGCTGCTATAACGGGAACAAGCGTATTGGAGATCAGGCCTATAACAATATTTCCACTTCCACTTTTCCACTTTCTATATGACTGCCCCGACTATGTGACAGAATACTTGGAACACATCAAGTAATTTAAATGGATGCCCAGAAAAAGCATTGCGGAGATAATAAAATCTTTATACGTAACATTTTTAAATAAATTTAATAACTTCAATTACATGTTATCTGAAAACTATTATAATTTTATTTTGGTTTGTTTTTTTTTTTGCTGTTCTAAATTGTTTTTAGGAAATGTTAAATATAAATTACAAATGTGGTGATATTCTTCAAAGTATGATAAATAAAATATAGTTTTGCTATTGTCGACGCGATTAAACTCGCTTAGGTAGCTATAGAGCCAATAAAGGGCAATTTGATTTCAAAGGTTAACTAACTTTTAATCGAAAGAGCGCTCAGTAAGGCGAGTGTTTGAACTATTAATCTTTTCCAAACTCAAGAAAGTGAACATTGGGGTATTCGGATCCTAAACCATTGGTAGTTCAGTTACTTACCTCGCACTTGTAATTCTGCAGTGTAGTTCACCTTTGCTGCCGCATTGCTCGCATAGCAGGTATATTTACCGCTATGCTTTGCGCTGATATCCTTGAACACCAAAAGCGAATAGAATTCCTCCTTTTTCTCGGTAATCTTGGAATTTGTAAAACAAAAATAACACACGAGAAATATAAAACGCAATTGAAACGTCTAGTGAATGCAGTCTTCTTCTTTTTTGTTAATTTAACGCTAAAAACAACTTAGACACTTTGCTTCAAAAGTGTTGTAGCACAGCAGCATACCAAAAGTAAGTGTATTTTTGCTTCTTTGCCATGTAGCAAATAAGTTTTAACTAACTCTTTTCAACTTACTGCAGTCACACTTAAACTTTTAATTTTATTTTTTCTCTTTGCTACTTGTGTGGTCGACCATATGTTTGAGTATGCATTTTCTTTCAGAATCCCATGGAGTTTTGGATTGATCAACTCACCTGCAAACTTGTTGGTATGGACATGTCATCCTTCTTCCAACTGAAATAGATTGGCATATCACCAGATGAAACGGCACAAGTTATCTGYGCGCGTCCTCCCTCTTGCAGATTCTTGGGAAACTTGAATGCTTCAATCACTGGTGGGCCTGTAGGGAAGAAGCACAGTAAAATGGGAACAAAAAAGTTATTTTGGCACACAATAATTGCGGACAAATTTATATAACCAAAATTCAATGTTATTTAAGATTGGTTTTGCAAGATTACCTTCAGGTTACATTTTGGGCGGAAAACAGACAGTTTCGAGACCGGAATAAAATTAATAAACTTTGAGTATAAAACCCAATTATGTCTCCTGACTGCCAATGATTTAAATAATTACATAAGCATTGACTTACTCAAAACATAATACGCAACATGATATTTATACTCTCGCAACAAAGTTGCTAAAGAGAGTATTATAGTTTTGTTCACATAACGGTTGTTTGTAAGTCCTAAAACTAAAAGAGTGAGATATAGGGTTATATATTTCCTGAGAATATACAGCGAAAATTTCAGACAGAAGTTCGAAATATTTCAGGAGTTATAACGAGTTTCCCAGAGCTCATCGGAGTCCTCTCGGAGTTGTTGAACTTTAATTTTTTTTTTTCTATTGAACCGATTGCTTTCAAATTTGAACAGGTTGTTTTACACGTTTACAGTTCTCGTCGGTACTAACAAGCATTYTGTCCCCTAACTTTTTATTTTACAACCCTTTCTTTACTCAAATAAAAGAACTTTTTTCCGCCATTTTGTTATTTACCCTTGAAAGTTCCGACCCGATGGAATAAAAGGACGATGTGACCAAAGATGCCTTTATGAGTGCTTGGAGCGCACTTATGAGAGCTGCCCCGCCACAATGTAAAAAACGTACTTGRCGACTTTAACGCCAGGGTGGGCAAAGAAGGTATCTTTGGCAATACGGTCGGTAAATTCAGCCTCCACGAGGAAACATCCCCAAATGGATTAAGGCTGATCGACTTCGCCGGRACTCGWAATATGGTTACCTTTAGTACTAGATTTCAGCTTAAGAAGATTCATCAAGCTACCTGGCTGTCTCCGGATCGAAAAACCACCAACCAGATTGATCATGTTGTGACAGACGGAAGACACGTCTCCAGTGTTTTAGATGTGCGTGTGCTCCGAGGTCCTAACATCGACTCGGACCACTATCTTGTTGTAGCCAAGATTCGCACTCGCCTCTGTGCAGCAAAAAACGCACGCCATCAAACAAAAGGAAGGTTCAACTTCGAGAAGCTGCAATCACAACAGATCGAAAGATTTTCTACTCGGCTTRCACTCCTGCTCTCTGAGAGCACTCGTCAACAACTCGGTATAATGGAATTGTGGGACGCCATTTCAAACTCCTTACGTACAGTTGCAACCGAAACCATTGGTTTTAGGAAAGTGCAAAAGAACAACTGGTGCGACGAGGAGTTTCGTTTCGCAGCGGAAAGAAAATAGTCTGCCTACCTCGCAACGTTACGATCGACCACAAGTCGTGCGGGATGGCATAGATACCGAGACTTGAAGAGGGRAACGASACGCATTTGCGGACAGAAAAAGAAAGAAGCCAAATGCGTGAGTACGRAGAGCTTGATAAACTGGCCGACAGGGGTAAAATGCGGCAGCTTTCAGTAGGTTTCAAGACTGGAGCATACTCTTGTAAAACYCCCAAARRAGATCTAGTCACCGATGYCCAGAGCATACTTAAATTATGGGGGAACACTTCTCCAGCMTGCTGAATGCCAGTGAGCGCACAACGCCARGAGAAGGCGAACCCGATTCCCCAATCGATGATGATGAAGCAGACGTTCCATTGCCCAACCATGAAGAAGTTCGAATAGCAATTACCCGCCTGAAGAATAASAAAGCGGCGGGGCCGATGGATTGCCGGCCGAGCTATTCAAACATGGCGGCGAAGAACTGATAAGGAGCATGCATCAGCTTCTTTGTAAAATATGGTCGAACGAAAGCATGCCTAACGATTGGAATTTAAGTGTGATGTGACCAAYCCATAAGAAAGGAGACCCCACAATCTGCGCCAACTACTKTGGGATAAGCCTCCTTAACATCGCGTATAAGGTTCTATCGAGCGTATTGTGTGAAAGATTAAAGCCCACCGTCAACAAACTGATTTGACYTTATCAGTGTGGCTTTAGACCTGCCAAATCAACAACCGACCAGATATTCACCATGCGCCAAATCTTGGAAAAGACCCGTGAAAGGAGAATCGACACAYACCACTTCTTCGTCGATTTCAAACCTGCTTTCGACAGCACGAAAAGGACYTGCCTTTATGCCGCGATGTCTGAATTTGGTATCCCTGCAAAACTTATACGGCTGTGTAAGCTGACGTCGACCAGCACCAAAAGCTCCGTCAGAATCGGGAAGAACTTCTCCGAGCCGTTCGATACCAAACGA